ATGGGGGACAATTTGAATAGAAGACTGGGGAAGCTTGCGGTAGATGATTTGTGCGAACCTATGATCAAACGATACGAACCCTGAGCGAAGGATCTCATTATTCTGTGCAATCCGGTACGTCCACTGCAAAACTTCCTGCGTAGTATTCTCGGCCGGAAATTCAAGCTTGATCCAGTTGCAATATGCCTGTGGATTGACAGATGTCTCTGCTAGCATTGAGTTTTGCAGAGGTGTGCACATTTGAAGTCGTGCGATTTCGTCTTTCAAAGACGTGAGGTCCGCTCGTTGCCCGAGCAGCTGGTCCGTGTGTATTTCGCAGGGATCCATGAAGCCAAGCATGTGGTCTTCTTGGTCTATTGCTGAGGTTGATGCCGTCGCTTGTAGAGAGTTGAACAAGGCCGAAAGAGTCATGGAGTTGAGAATGTCCGTTGCTGATGCCCGAAAACCGCCTTCCCGTAAAGCCGAGGCAAGTCTTATTGCCTTGAGAGAATCAATGCCCATGGATGCAAGCGAAGCCGATGGAGAGATTTGAGAATCGAGAAAGGTTGACACAATTGATAATGCCTTCCGTTCTAGTGGGCTAGCCGCTTCAAAATGGTCTTCGGGTTGAGATGCTGTCAATGACATTTTGTATTCGTTCATGAGTTGTTTCCGGTCCACCTTTCCCGAGGGCAATCTTGGGAAGCTTGTCTTGATGACGATATCACCAGGCACCATGAATGACGGGAGCCATGTGCGGCAAGTGTTGAGAATGTCTTCCACATGATCTCCCGAAGCAAGTTGGTCGTCAATGGCGCAAAATGCAACTAGAATCCCGCCGAGAACCATGGCAATCGCACTATGACACCCGGTGGCTCGCATTGCTGCTTGCTCTACTTCGCCGAGCTCGATTCTTTGACCGCGTAGCTTGACCTGCCCGTCAGATATCCTCCCAAGACATTCCATGGTACCGTCTGAGTTCATGATGGCCTTGTCACCGGTGCGGTAAACACGGCCTTGCGGAGTATTGAAAAACGCCGCATCAGTCTGTTCTGGCCTATTGAGATAGCCATTGGCGAGTTGATACCCTCCGACGACGAGCTCACCAAGTTCGCCTACTGGAAGTATGTTGAAGTCAAAGGGGGAGTCGTCTTCGGGGATGGCGACGACAAAACACGAGACGGAATCTAGGGGAAATCCGATATTCGAAGAGGGACAATCCGTGGGGTATCTAGGTCTAAGTGTGCTGCGTATCGTTAGTTTTCATGATGCCAATACGGACATGCAATGACTTACCAGTGGATGGCAGCTTCGGTTGGGCCATACATGCCCCATAACATGCTGTCCGACACGTCGCTGCCGCCAAACTCGCGGACAACGGACTCTGTCAACATTTCACCAATTGTAAGGAGGAGCTTCAGACAAGGTGCGTTTTGCCGCGAGCGAAGAAGACTACCAGCGACAGTAGGCGTCAACTCGCATGCATCGACCTGCAAAGTCCTGATGACATCAGGAAGATCGTTGAGCATGCGACCACGATCGCACGTAACTAGTGTTGATCCGCGAAGAAGAGGGAAGAAGATTTCGAATACTGATACATCGAACGTCGGCGAGGCAAATTGAAGGAAGCGCCTAAAACTTGGAATATGCCGGTCATGGGCGAGAAGACTTTGGGTTGCAGCATCGTGCGAAACTCCAACGCCTTTTGGCGTGCCAGTTGAACCAGAAGTGTACATGACATAGGAAAGATGTTGAGGCTCGGTGTGTCGAGTTGTGAGACTTGTTGATGAAGTCAAATCATCAGTGACCTCTTCGTCCACCACTAAGACAACCCTATCTGCGTCATGAGGCATCTTTGATACCAAGTCCCGAGTGACAAGAACGACTTTCGCCGATACGTCTTGGAGAATGAATCGAACCCTCTCAGGAGGTGCATCTAGATGCAAAGGGCAGAAAGCTCCGCCAGCTTTGAGAACCGCCAGCATTGAAATATAAAGATGCGAGCATTGAGGGATGAGTATTGGTATAATGAAATCATCCGATGTGGAGGATATCGCAACCAAGCGAGAGATTCGTGCTGCCAGGGCATCCGCGGCATCGTGAAACTGGGCGTAAGACAAAGTTGATTCTTCTCCGTGGCTGTTCAGTGAGTGAATCGCAGGCAGCGATTCATTTGATGTAAGCTGCACTAGTTGGTGAAGGAGGCGAGGTCCTGGGACCCGAGTGGGATGAGGATTTAGGATGGAGAGCTGGGGCTCCAACTCAGCGTCCGTCATGTTGGCCTCGTCGTCGTCGTCGTCGTCGAACAAGAAAAGATGCTATTCCCAAACTGATGAGGAAATCTTAGTAGCTCTCCTAGAAAGCTGTAGGAAGTGGTCCGATGCACAAAGCTCTTGGTTAACCATAGCATTACAAAGGGTATCCAGGTATTAGTCGGGGCCCTCTTTTCAACGGGAAGAGCACGACGGTCAATGCACCCGAGTCCAGATCAAGATGGACCTGCAGCTAGAGGTCCAAGAGACCACGCGCCGGGACACGTCTTCGTCCAATAAGACAAGTGATGATTCACAGATCCGGTCATGTAACGGCGTGGTTCTTTAGTTGGGTGCTGGGCGATATGCCATGGGGGTAATGCGAGGGGTTGACACGGGGTCGGCTGCAGGTCTGCTGGCCTGTAAGATTGCAGCAATTACTCAGCTGGTGGGAAACGTCGAGCGATTCTACAGCACAATCCCGAAAGGTCGCCAGAGCTTCGTGTGTCGATGATGAAATAAGGGATCGTTCATTCGTGGATGATGACGGCGTGTTGGCGCGAGCTAGCCAGCTCAAGGCGGCTCGGCCCTGTGCGTAGGGCTGTTTATGACCTGTGCGTATGTCGGGCGTGTGACAACTTCAGTGCGACGGTAGACTGACAAGGAGATACAGGGGGAGACGAGGAGCGCTGCAGAATAAAGAAATGGATTGTTGGTGATCTACCACTGGTTGTCCTTGTGTGTACGGGCGCGTATGCGTATGGGTGTGTGTGCGTGTATGTGTGTGTCCGCTGGCTGAAGAGGTTTATCAGAAGCGTAGACTACCTAGACAAGCTACCGCGCTTGCAGCACACAAAGGGAACGACCAAGAGACTGCCCGCCCATCTCGAGCGGATCCTGATGTGGCTGACGGGGGATGGCGTCAGGTGTGTTAGTCGTTTTGGGCGACCTACACACAAGTTCCTGGCCAGTCATCCACAAGCTTGAATGGCTATGACTTGTGAGATCTGCCATCCCACGCCTGTTTCCAGGTTCGCGGCAGCGTGGGCAGGTTCTGAGGCCAGGCATCGGCCATCCGTTCCACTGGAAGGGAGGACCCAGATGCCGGGGGCATTTCCGGCGCTTACAGCGTCATAGCATAATAGAGCTCGCCGCGTTGCCCGAGGGCGAAACGCCGCTCTTCGCTGTGAAATAAGCTTCGACGGCCCGTTCAGTGCTCTCTAGCTGCCTCAGCCTGGGCGGCGTTTACTCGGATGTGTAACGTAAGACCGGAAGTCTGCAGACACGACTACCGCTGCAGTGGCTAGCCTGCACGGCATGCCGATGGCCGGCAGCCTTATCCGATCTTGTGGTTAGGCAAAGCTCTTGACAGCTGCTGTGCACCACGAAGCCCGTTGTTCGACATGCATCCCCGTCCGTATTTGAATCAAGGGGGAGCGATGTCGCCGTGTCCGAGGCGCTGGTTCTGGCGGGGAAAACCGGTTTCGAGCTTGGCCGGCCGCCGGCCGTCTCCCGTAAAAGACGTCGAATCCTCGACGTTTGTGTCTGCTCATGTCTCACGCTCCGCAGCTAACAACCTGCTATAGAACTTCCAGCGTCGGAAGAAGGCACGACAGGCTCGAATTAAACATGTCCTGGGGTTTTGCAGAGATGCACAAGCATGGCGCGAGATCTGACGGCGCATCCAGAACAGGCCATTTTCCCCCTGGCGCCACGCCATGATCCGCGTCGATGCTCGGCCATGTTCGCGGCTGCTGGCCGATCTCGTCTGACTGCCGGAAAACGGTTCCTATAAGCGGCAAACTCTCCGGGCACTTGCCTCGGGAGGTCATGAAGAGGGCGGTACGGAGGACGACAGCGCGGGGCTCTTTTGGAGAACCACTCAACCACCATGTCACTGGTAACTGGCCAAGATGACAAGGTGGTGGTGGGAAGAAGGCATCTGGCTGGTTAGATCTCGCCCGCACATGGCGGTTTTATCTGGATCGCTTCGTCTGTCGCTTCGTCTGGTGTGGTATCCACAGGTAGGCACGAGCCGGCGGGTTGGTATGTATTGTGATCAGGAAGCGTATGTTGACTAGGTTCCATGTGCGCGCGCAGGCGAGACGGAGCAGCAAGCTGCAATAGTCGCCTAGCATGTATGCGTATCGATATCTGGATACGACGGATGGGTTCTGGAGAAGCATCCTTGCCAAACATAGGCGCCAGGGAGAGAAGCCAATGGAGAAAGAGTCGCCGTTTGGCCGTGGGGTTACTGTCAGTCTTTCACAGGTCTGCGCCGCTGCGGTCGTGTCACCTCTCCGGCCCGTCTACATACGTGGAGGGGCGATGTATCGTTGTAAGAGCCAAAGACGCGCAGTGTGGCCCAGATGTGGGGGTTGACTGAGTCGAAGGCAGTACGTAATTCAGCAGCAGAAGAGAACGGCCAGTGCCATAGAATACCGGACTAGATGGAAGGAGATACTGCATCGAAGGCCTACGAGGGGGTCGAATGAGGCTACCGCTGAAGTGAGTACACGTCTATGGATGCTGAGGACAGGGTGAGGTAGTCTAGTAAGTGTGGTTAGTGACTGGCGGTGGTCAGCATGCCGAGCTTGGGAATGTCGAGGCAGTGGTTGGGATTCAGGTTCCAGGAGCAGGACTCAAGAAGACCCGGCTAGACGTCAAAGAAAGCTGTTTGCATTATGGATTCTACAGCGCGGTGGGCGTCCAGCCTCCAGGTCCCGGCGGCGATGCCCCGATACCCGTCGTATCCCCTCCTTCGGAAACATGGCGACTCGGCGAGCTATGGGATGGTGGATGACTAGGGATGGGATAGGATGGGATGGACGCTTGAATGATGTCGGTGGATGTCGCCAGCGCGTCGTGGTGGATGGATCGAACGGGTCCATCGAAGAGAAAATGTGGGTGGATGGGTGGATGGATGCCGTAGGACACGGCGGAAACGAAATCCAGGTCGACTACCTACTCGGGTATAGGCTGGATGGTATTCTCGGTCTTGGTATAAGACTGCGAGAGGGACGGCGGGATTGGGCCGTATTCGGTGGTTGTTGGTCGGCAGTCAGTGGTGATGGTGTTATAGACTTGGGGTTGAACCTTTGGTATTCCGCGAACGTTGAAAGGAGGGCGGGCATGTATTCCTACAGCAAGGGCAAGACGAGAGTCGGGTCTGAGTGAACCGTAGATACGGAGTACTAGCGACGGGTGGAAACGAGGAATACTTCTGGCAATGAGTAAGTGCAAAGCCGGTTATGCAATGTGCGTGCGAGATGTTCCGTTAGGCTGGAGGTATCCGTACGAACACTCCGCAACACACAGAAAGGCGTGCAGGATTCCAGGCATGCTGAAGCCTGCATGCTGTGTGCGACTTGTCGGCAAGCGGGCGGGTGGGAATCCATGTGAAGAGATTTTCCCACCTTCCCTGTCTTGACGCTTCGGTTCTTGCCTGGTTCAGACGAGTTCGGAGTGACAGTGTGACTTGAGGTGGTGCCTTCCATCGGGTTCGGCGAGCGCTCCTGCTCCTGCTTCTGCTCTTGTCCCAGAGGTGTGCTCCTGCTTGTTGTCGGGTTCTCGTTTGGCCCGACGGCACTTTCCCATTTGCAGCCAACTGCACCTCAGTCCTGCCGGGTCCAAGTCCAGGGCAGTGTGCACCTGCTTCGTGGTACGAATACCTCCTACAATGGAAGTGAGGTAACGTACCCAAGTTAAGGTACGTGTGCACAGGTAAGGTACCTTAGTTCCAGCGTGCCAACGTCCACCTTATGCCCATGCCGCATGTCGAATTTTTCTTCAGGTGCCTTTCCCCTGCCTGCTTGACTGTCTGCCCGCTTCCATCGGCAATCCCCTCCCTGCGTCGCTTCTTACCGTTGTCACCACCTACCTTACGGATACATACCAGGTAGTGGACGGATACCGTGCCTATTTTACCACTCACAGATGCAGAAAAAGGCTGTGGATGATCGCCAGTGGATGCGTGGTGAGTTTGACGCTAAGAGAGGCCATGGATTTCACGGATTCCTCATCCATGGGTGGCTATTGAATCCCCGTCTTGACAGGGAAAAAAGCCTCGTCAGACCAGGGCTTCATCGAGGGTTGGACGGGGGCCATCGTGGCATCGTCACTGGGCCCAATACAGCAGGTACGTACGCCTTACCTAATTAGACCCGGATCTTATCAGATTTAGATAATCAGATCATCAGATAACTCGGGCAAAATGATGCCAACGGCGCCCAAAATTCCCGCAAAACCACCAAAACCACACAACCACATTTAGCACACCCACCCACTGGCCCCAGGCTTGCCAGGCTAAAAACCCCACTGCCGCAAACTCCGACGAGCGACATATCCTCGGTTGACTGCTCTCAGCCATTCGCTTTTTTTTTTCTCGTTACTCTGGAATTTTTCAGTTCTCTGTGCGTCTCGTTCGCACATCGAGCCACAAATCTAATACACCTCCAGTCCGCTGCGAAACCATGAATCACCTCCACGCTCACCAATGGATCCGGGGGGCTCTTGCGAGGAACCTCCAGTGTTTGTTTCCCCATATACCCATTGCCCACGTTTGTCGCCTGCAAATCTGGTTGCTCTGGGCTGCCTATCCTCCGCCTCAACTCCGGTCTCCAGCCCGCATTCTTCGTGATACACCGGGACAGACTCTCGCGTTCCCTCTTCGCTTACCCATGCAAAAAGGTAAGTAGTGCACTGCATTACACCCGAATGAGGCAAATTGATAGTCCTCTAGCATAGTAGCTACTATAGTGCTGTGGGTGGCTGTCTCCCTCAAAATCAAGTCTTCAAGTTAAGGTAATAGTAGTGATGGCAAGTTACCTTACTTTACTGTGCACCTAGGTACCTAAGGTAAGGTAGGCAGCATGGATAGCTCCAGGAGCGGTACGTACTGCAACGGATTCTTTCCACATCTTGTCAGATTAGATCCATCACCAAGTGCGTCTTGGAAGGGAGGCAAAGTACCTCATTCTGCATGATGCCAGGGCTCACACTACTGCGCGTGTGAGTATTCATTCATTCACCCTCTGCGCTAAGGCAAGGTCCTCTCTCAATACTACGCAATGGGCTTATGGATGCATTCTAGATAGTCTCGTACTCTGTACAAGCACGAATCTCCAGTACTCGGGGTTGATGTCGACACACCCCCTCAAGGCCTCGCGGTGGCACACCTTGGAACCTCAATCCCGAGGTCTTCTCGTGAACCCCTGGTCTCACTGCCCGCTCTCGGAGCAAAGCTTTGCACCATCTCAATCGCCCGACTCATGTTTCTTGGTGATCCTGCCGCCTCCACAACGCGCATTGGATCGCAAATGCCCCGGTCTTTCCACATTCTACAACCCGTCAAGACTCTTGGTGACCATCTGCGACGCAACCTGCATCTTGGCCCCCTTCTTTTTGAGCTTCGAGACGTGTTCGACAGACGCGCCGCAGCCCTGTGTCACAATCAAGTTGACGAGCAAGACATTGAATCGCCAAAGAAGAGGTAGGTAGGTACTTTTGTCAACAGTACCTACCGTTCTTGCTGTGGATTGTTGAAACTGACAGAGTCGCCCGTGACCTTCGGCCGCCTAAAGCTACTTGCCCTTTCCTTTTTCATCCCCAAGAGAAGCAGCCTCCACCGGTGCATGAGTTTCCATTGTTTTGCCTCAATTCAAGGAGGGGAAGGACAGGCAGGTAGGGCAGGAGGTAGGCAAAGTACACGTAAATGCTTCCCAAAAAGAAAGAAAAAAAACCAGGTGTGGTTTGTACGAATACGTAGGTACTCGGGCCGTACCTGAGGCACACAGCTAAAAAAGACAAGTAGGTACTACCTATGGAGGTAGGGAAGGCAGGGAAGGTAGGTTCGCGACGTCAGGTAGGCGGCGTAGGCCCGTTCTTAGCCTCCTTCCCTCCTACCTGGGACGGCCTTGGACCGAAGGAAGGAAGGAGGAATCTGAGAGATTTGATCTTATCAGATCCGAAGATAACCCCGAAATCGCATCATGACCCCTCCCCCGACTCCACTTGGTCGTGCAAACTGTTCATCATCGATTTTTTCATTCTCTCTTGACCTGTCATCGTCTCACCCCTCCCTCCCTGTTCGCTAACGTGTTATTTTTTTTCTCGTCGTCCCCTTCGCTTCCCACATCTTCGTCTCTCCTGCGTCTATTAGTGTAGGTCCCCCGTCCGATTTCTGCATCGCGACCAATTTGGAGTGGGTCCTCCTGGCACCATCGATCTGCATCATCTGGGAAAGCGTCGCCGACAAGTTTCTCGTAAACCGACGGCTTTGGCCTGGTCTGCTGCACGTAGCACGGCTGCCACGCCCGTGAAGTTTCTTCAAACCACGCCTCGATGTCATCGCCCTTCTCCGGCGGCTTCTAGTCTCAACGGCCAGTGCCCGAGCAAGCCAGTTGCTTTTACTGGTGTGAAGCACCCCGGTGCTAGACCTATCAAGATTCGAGATAGCATCATGACAAGAGAGACACTACGAGACGAACAGACAAGTTTCATGGCAAGGCGAGGATTCGCAAAAGTCCTAGGCACGGGAATCACGGTTGAAATCGGACTGAAGAGCAGCATCGATTGGTAGCTTGATTGCGTCGGACAAGCATCAGCTGAGCCTTTCCAGGGTCCAGTCAACGTCGTTGTCCTCCCCGCGTTGGGAAAACTGTTCGTCCGTCGGTCGTCTACGGTCCATCATCTCTAGGCGCTCGCTTTAACGCTCAACCCGTCGTCAGGTCCTTCAAATCGCTTCGGTATTTTCATTCTAGCTTCTGTGCCTCCGGTCCATCCCTCCCGTCCGCTCCACTTCTGTGGCCCGGCACATGCAAACGAGCCAGCTACGCCAAGGCCTGCGACCGCCGCTCGCCGCCGCTGATGCTGGACACCATCTCGAACGGATTGGTTCGACGTTTGGTGGTTATGTGGTCCTGTTCTTCATTGCTTTTTCCGTCCTCGTGCAATCGCCAATGCAGCGCTGCTTTCTACCTTACTTTAATCTTCTCCGTCAACCGAAGCGCATTTCCCACTCTTGTCTGTGTGCACATGCCTCGTACAGACAACCCTTCATCGCGCCCATCATCCACTCACCCACTCAAGAAGTTCCTCCATTCTCCAAAGGACCACTTACACCATGTACCATGGACATGAACTTGGCATGGGTTCCAGTCTGCGAGACCCAGACCAAGACCCAGGACCCAGGCCCTCCCAGGGCATTCCTTACTAGCGAGCCCATCTCTGGAGTCAGCCCGTTGCGACTCTGTCCCTGGCCCCAACCCCTGGATGTGGAAAGGCGTCCGTTGTGGATGGCTTCTTGGTTTGAGCCGAGCTGGCGCTTCACTCTTTGCGCCCACCAAGTACGCCAATACCTACAGTAACCTATACTACCGTCACTACCCACGGCATTCTGCGCAGCTCTTCTCCCAAGAGAGATGAGCCAGGGTTATGTCCTATACAGGCCTTCTCCGGCAGAATGACAGGATCGCGGCATCGACGTTGCCCCATTCGCGCGAAGAACCGAATGTTGCAATTTGAGTAGGCTCCTCCAAATACGTCTAGTCCCCAGCCTCTGGGGCGTGTAACCAAACAACTTGTACAGAGTACAGATACCCCTACCCAGTCCCAGTCTCCATCTGCTCGTTCGTGAGCTCCGAGGCGAGGGTCCAACGGTCCAGCTTCGAACTTGTCGGTCGATCACGCCGCCTCAATGGGACGCGGGCATCCATCAACGTCTGCTCGTTTTACATATTAGCCCCTCGATGCCCCTCCTCTCTTGCCAAAGCGTCTCTTGATTCTTCTTCACCAGCTCCCACTTCTCTCCTCAAGCCTTCCCTCAACCGCCCATTCAACCGGTGGCCCATCTTCATTATACCCAAAGGCTTCAACCAGATACGCCACTCTTTGAGAGTCGATGACGAATAGTGTGGCTTGAGACCACCTTGGATCAATCACAAGGAAAAAGCCGGCATTAGACCAGGAAAAAAAAGTTCTAACCACACCCAAAAATACCCCGCGCAGTTTCGCACCCGCATCCCACTTTTACACCGGGCTCTTGTTCAAACCGTCTCAAAATCGAAAAGTAACGCCCTCAAGGTCAGTTGATGTGCTCCCACTCTTCCGAGAGAGTGAGATTTTAAAGGTCGTGAAGCTGATGGTTTTAAAGCCCCTGCTCTTCCCGTCCAGTTGCATTGTCACTGGCACATTGATCGATCCATTCGCTCGTCAAATAATACCCCTAGCCGCTCTTTGCGACTTGTCTATATACTCAGCTCACGCACACTTACACCAAACCACGTAATTCCAACCCCCCCCCCCCCACCACCCATCACCATGTCTCCTCACTGCGACTCGCCGACCAACGGCTCCGATGCCGGCAGCGGCTTCTCCTCCTACAACGGTAATGGCAATGGCTACACCAATGGCAACGGAGTCGCCTACCAGAATGGCAACGGCGTGAACGGCCACCAGAACGGTGCCTCCCGCATCCAAAAGTCCCAATACCTCCAGCCCACCGACCACAGCGAAATCCACGACCTTATCTGCGTTGGCTTCGGCCCCGCTAGTTTGTCTGTTGCCGTCTCCATGCACGACTTCCAGGAGGCCGGCCGCCAGCTTGCCCCCGGCTCAGCCGCCGCCAAGGTGCTGTTCCTCGAGAAGCAGCCGGCCTTCGCATGGCACCCGGGCATGCTCCTTTCCGGCGCCCGCATGCAGATCTCCTTCATCAAGGATATGGCCTCCCTGCGCAACCCTCGCTCCCAGTTCACCTTCCTCAACTATCTCCACAGCAACGACCGCCTGGTTGAGTTCACCAACTTGGACACATTCCTACCCGCCCGCGCCGAGTACGAGGACTACCTGCGCTGGTGTGCTCGCCACTTTGACGACGTTGTTGAGTACGGCCGTGAGGTCGTCTCCGTCTCCCCCGACCCTCAGACTGCCGGCAGCATCAAGACCTGGACCGTCAAGTCTCGCAACGTCAAGACCGGCCAGGTCAGCTCCTATCAGACCCGCAACGTGCTGATCGCCAACGGCGGCCAGCCGCGCATCCCCAAGGTCATGCCTGCCAACCACCCCAAGATCATCCACTCCTCCCAGTATGCCCAGCTCGTGCCCCAGCTCCTCAAGGACAACTCGAGACCCTACAGAGTCGCCGTCATCGGTGCCGGCCAGTCTGCTGCCGAGATCTTCCGCGACGTCCAGCGCGCGTACCCCAACGCCAAGACGTGGATGGTGATGCGCTCCGAGTTCCTCAAGCCCGCTGACGACTCGCCGTTTGTCAACTCCATCTTCAACCCCTCGTACGTCGACGAGCTGTACCCCAAGTCCCAGAGCTACCGCCGCTCCCTCATCAAGGAGGCCAAGGCGACCAACTACGGTGTCGTGAGACTTCAGCTCATCGACGCCCTGTATGAGATGCTGTACCACCAGAAGCGCACCCTCGGCTACGACGAACGCAAGTGGCCCCACCGCATGCTGTTCGGCCGCGACATCACCCAGGTTACCGAGAGCAAGGAGACCGACCGCCTGCAGATCCACGTCCGCCGCCTCGAGGACGCCGCCGGCGACAGCCTCGAGGATGGCTTCGTCAACCAGCTGCCCGGTGACGAGGTCCTCGACGTCGACCTGATTGTCGCGGCGACTGGCTACCAGCGCAACGCCCACATCGACATGCTCCGCGACAGCTGGAACCTCCTCCCCGAAGTCGCCCCTGCTGCCAACGCCAGTGAGCGTGAGATCGTCGACGGATGGGAAATCGCTGGCCCTGATGCTACCTCTGGATCAAGGAAGCTCGAGGTTGGACGCGACTACCGTGTGCGTTATGCCCCTGGCGCTGTGGCGCCCGAGGCTGGTGTTTTCTTGCAGGGATGCTGCGAAGCGACCCACGGAGTAAGTTGAACCCCGCCATTTCATTTTTCCCTCATTACCCCACTACACCACACCACACCACGCAAGACATTGTGACTGATGAGACCTTCTTCAACAGCTGAGTGATACCCTTTTGTCAATTCTTGCCGTCAGATCGGCCGAGGTTGTCAACTCCATCTTCCCCTCTACCCCGAGGGCCAAGACCGTTTCCAACTAGACAATTTTACGACTTTATTCTTATTAGAGAGAGAGAGAGAGAGTGAGAGAGAGAGACAGAGAGAAAGGGATGGGAAAGACATTCCGCGAGTCTCTTTTGGATTAGTCATTGGCATGGGAAATGTGTAACTGACGGCATCCCTTTATGTATGTGCCCTTGGGCGGGTTCTTTCAACACTTCTTCGGAATTTGAGTTGAAAAACTAAAATAAGACATGGCGCGGAGTTTTTATCTATTTTTTCAATGATTTTCATTATTCCTGGTTCAATAAAGCTTCACCTTTTTTCTCTTGAGACATTACTGAGCTCCGTGATCGAACCGATTTTTTAGGTTTCCGAAATGTTTGGTTCTTGCTTTATATGATGGCTTATATGGAATAGTTATTACTGTACAGTTGTGCGTCGTTGTGTTCAACCCACGTCAT